GCTCTACAGGTCACCTATACAACAAACAAGGACAAATCCTTAAACTACGACACAAAAGCCTAAGTTTGACCTAAATTTAAACTTGGTAAAAAAGTCAATGGTCAAAGTCAAAGTCAACAATCAAAAGTCATTCAGTTGTTAGCCATATCGTGACTACCCATTGTTCATGTTGTGGCATAATGGAGATAAAATAATCGCGAACCAAGCCTTATTCACATCGTAACGACCAAGGTGTCACATCACGAGGAACATGTTGGACATGCTAATGCCCTAATCTCTTTATCCTTTAATCCATGCAACCAAACCTTCGAGAAGGACTTCTCTATCTTAAAATACCATAAACATTGTAGCTTTTTAGATGTGAATGTCCAATGCATGTCTCAAATAGATGTTAGGTCAATATGATGTAAAAAAGGGGTCAAGATCATTTGCAAGAGTTTAAAACTCTATCAAACCTCAAATTCATCACTTTCAACTATAAAAGGACTATGGGAATCCATAAAGTTTGCAACTTTATGGAACCTAAAAATTCCAACTAGCCTAAACACGAAGAAAAGCACATGAAAACGTAGATCTAAGCACATTGGATGATAAATCATGGAGCTTTAATACTCACAAAGGTCCAAAGTATGAGAGGAAAGATGATGGTGAGGCTTGCAAGTTAATATGATGCTCTAAAACTCTATATCTTCTTCTTCTTGGCTAGAAATCACCCAAAAAGGAGCTCACAATCAACAATTTAGGATTAGGAGTTTTCTTGAACGTGAAGGGAGGTTATGGATGCTGAGGATTGGCGAACCCTACACTCATTATGCTTAAATAGGGGGACAACCCCCAAAATTAGGGTTATTGCATGCAAGAGTTATCATGTCGTGACCCACATGTAGTCACGTCATGATAACCTAAATGAGATGTGCATTTCATTGGGCAATGTCACATCATGACACACAAGTGCTCACATCATAACCAAGGCTAAATCTTAAAAGTTAGCTGATAGCTCAACATAAATGCTTACCTGGAAACTAGGTGATATATAGAAAATGCGATATTTATACAAGTAAAAAAACATACAAAATTTAATGATCATGCAAATATATTTTATTTAATATATAAATAAATTTTGTTGTGTAAACTTTATATAAAGTACTCAAACTACAATATGTAATTACAGATTTTCGTTTTCTATTTTTTATCTAAAAAAATTTGAGGTATAAAAACATCATTTTATTACTTTTTAATTTTTTACTCGATGTAATTTTTAAGATTTATCTTTATTTTTTTATATAAGTATATGTATTTTTATTAAAAAATATGATGTGTTATTATAAAAAAAATGCATGATTTTAAATATAATAGTATGGTTCTCTTTTGTATTAGAAATATAAGTATATTGTTTCTACTTAAATATAAAAATATATTTCAGTTTTGGATTGATATTATATGTACATTATTATTTATATTGGTTTGATATAAACTTCTGGTATTTAGTTTTAAAAAATTATTTAGTATTATCAAATTTTAAATATATTCATTAATGAAGACATAACCTTTTAAAAACAAATTTTAAAAAATAAAAAACACCTTTTAGCTACTAATTACATATGCTACAATATATGTTAAAATAATTAAATAAAATGACATTAGTTCCATACAATTCATTTTCTTTTAAGGAAAATAAAAATATTTTGTATGTTTAAAAGATTTGTGGAAACAACCACGTATTATATTGTTTCTATAAGATAAATATATTTATATAAGTCATCATTTATGAAACACAGACATAAACCTTTTAGGAAAAATAATTTATATAAATATATTTATTTTTATAAAAAAGTATGATTCGCTATTATTTATGAGTCAAAAACCATTTAAACATATTTTTTTTAGTTTACCCAAATTTTGATAAAAATAAATATTTTGTGAAAATTAATTATCTAAAGTGTATATCAAACCAATAAAAAATTTATCGTACTTATATTATAAATCTAAAATTTAAGCACAATATTACCTTTAACTCAAACTCACATATTTATATTCTTAAAAATAAATAGAAGCATATTATTATTTACATAAAACCATATTTTTTTCCTAATAACACTTTGTTTTTTTGTTTACAAAAATAATTATAATGGTTTAAGGAAAATGAATGTGTATATTCAAAATTACATCAAGTAAAAAGAAAAAGTAATAAAAAGATGATTTTATACACTACACTTTTTAAATACAAAAAATAGAAAACATAAATATTTAATTATGTATTGTAGTTTGAATATTTTATATAAAAACAACAAAAATGATTTATTTAACTAAAAAAAATATATAGTTGAATGATCAGTAAAATATGTAAGTTTTAATTTTTTACTTGTAAAAATATTACATTTTCTATGTTTAATTTTTTTAGATTTGATTTGATTTATTGTAATTAATAATGGATTTAATAGATTTTTTTTTAAATTTTCAAATAGTCTTTAGGTGATGTTTCGAAAAATGGCATAAATTATCCTTATCCAAAAATCGTTGAACTTAGTGGATCTATCTAACATACATTCGTGAGAATCATTATTTGTATGCAAAGTTTTTTTCTATAGGACCATTCATGCAAATAAAGTTTTATGAAAATTATTTTATGGACAAAATTTAATGCTAAATGACCATTTGTGAATTTAACCTATAAAAAATTTGTATGTCGTCTTTTTTTTTTTAAATTATTGTACTTTTAGTTTTCATATTCTTTAATTAATAAATTTTTATTTATTAAATATTTTAGGCTTTGTAATTTTCAAATAATTTATTTTTAACTATTACAACTTTTTAACTGTTATATATTTTATTTTTAAATTTATAATTATGTTTAAAAATATAAGGATGATGATGTGAAAATTTATTAAATTTTATAGGGTTTAATATAATGATGATGTTAAATAGTAAATTTGAATAAAAGAACAAAATTGATGATATGATCCTGATAAGGGTTGATTAAAAAGACATAATATTTTATTACTTATGTATATATGTAGTTTTTAAGGTATTTTTATTAGTTGAAATTATATTATTTTTTAAAAAAATGATTATAAATGATTATTTATTGGTTGACTTTTGATAAAAATATCTATGAAGTTTCTAATAAATATCTTAATAGCAGCATCCTAATAACAAACCAATAAATTCTTTTTAAATATAAACATATAAATATCTAAAAGTGATTATTTTCTATTTCTAAAACAAAAAAAAGAAAAATCAACATGACGATTAGTTAACACGGAAAAAAAAAAAGTAGAAGATAGTAAAAGGATACATTCCCTAGCGTAAAACAAAAAGAAAAATAGAAAAAATAAGAAGGGTATATAGGAGGTGAAGCAAAGAGACATTCCTTCAACCCTACCAAAAGAGAAGCATAAACAAAAGTTGAGAAAAGCAAAGTTTGATTGCCCGATGCCACCTCAGCAGTAATGATGAGTGTTTAAAGTGTCCATGTAAGAGGAATGTGGGGCATCAAATTTCATAAAAGATAACCTCTGATCAAAAACAACATCATTCACCACCACTTTTGTTTGATTCTCATGCAAAAATTTAAATAAAAATCACCAAAGGTTTAATACTATATCTGACTAAACACACACACACAGTTTCTCTCTCTCTCTCTCTCTCTCTCTCTCTCTCTCTCTCTCTCTCTCTCTCTCTCTCTCTCTCTCTCTCTCTCTCTCTCTCTCTCTCTCTCTCTCTCTCTCTCTGAAAACTGTATTTTTCTAGAACTCTTAAAAATATTGAAAGAAAAGGGTACAGTATAGAATCTTGTACTATCTCTTGAGAAATGTGTTGGTGTTGGTGTTGCACTAGCCCTGTTGAGGACCTAAGAGAATCCTTGTTAGGAGCTTCAAAAGATGAGCCCCTCCCCACCCTCATATTTATATTATATACATGTACATTAAAGACGTACATACAATTATATGTTAAATACTATCAAAAAAAATATCTAGAATCACTTAATTATTAATATCTTATTTTATAAAACCATACATGCTGATCAAAAGTTCGAAACTGCTGAAGTCTGTCCACATCAAACTAAAGATACGTATAAATCCATCCTAGTTAAACCATATATATCTTAAACAGAAAATTGAGTAAACCAAATTAACGATTTTTGGCAAACTAACCATTCACTCCGGTATAGACATTCGTGGGTAGTGGCAAATGAGCCTTAGTCCAAATACAAAACTCGATTTATATATATATATATATATATATATATATATATATATATATATATATATATATATATATATAATATATATATATATATATATATATATATATATATATATATAGGGTTCAATAGAAAACCAATATGAGTGGAGAAACCAAAGAAGCTATTAAGATGGTTGGATCAAAAAATTAACAACTATTGACTGTCCCTATTCTAATAAAAGAATAGGTTTAATCTCATATTGACAAGTGTCATGCAATTAGAACCCCTCATTAATGTTATATATCATTTATCATGACACTTGTCCACCTATTAATTATTAATTTCAAATTTCAAATTTTAAATTTCAGGAAGGAGATGAAAGCAGTGAAGATGAACACATGAAGAAAAAAATAAAAGATGAAAAATTTGATGCAGGAGAAAATTAGGATTCAGAAGAAACAAAATGTGACAATAATATCTTGGGAATTGAAGATGATAAAGACAAAAAAAGAGAAGTAGGAAAAAGATTAAAAAAAAACATCACTGAAGCTATCTTCTCATAATAATAAAAAAGAGGTTTGTGCATCAAAATTCGTAGATCCAGATGAAGTAAAAGTATCAGATAGAGTTTTTTCCAGAATTGGTAATAGCAGGTAATAATTTATGTTATCTTTTATTTAAATACAATAGTATATAAATATAAATACAAATTAATTTTTTATTAACTGTTTTTTTTTTATTTGATTACAAATTAAGTGAGAAGATATTTCATTCTAAGAGAGGTTATGTGCTTGGAAGAGGAATAACTAAAACAATGCAGCCAGGATTATGGGTACTTGCACATGTCATTGATGCTTGGACTGATATTTTGAACTACGAAGAAAAGCTTAAGTCAAATTCTACAGCGAATCGGTATTTCTTTGATACATCAATGGTGGTAAGTTAATTAAAAAATATATATCCTGATAATGTTTATAATAAAATAAATAAAATTTGTGAATAGTTCTGAATAAGTAAGAAAATTCACACAGTGAATCCCATTATAATTCACAGTGTGAATAATTTTAAATTTAAAATTTACCTTATTCTGAATTTAACAATTTACTTTTTAAAGTTTGATGTATATTAATTTTTTTTACAGAGGCAGTTCATATTTGACAAAAATATCCCTTTCAATGAAAGATTTAATAAATTTGAGTCAAATATCAAATATGTAATGAAAAAGGACAAATAACTTCTGACATTTGAAAACGCTCACTTAGTGACATACTGCTCTTTTTGTTGAATATATTACATATTTTAAACAAAGTTTAACAATTTAAATTATTAAACCTCTGACAGGTGTTTTTACCAGTTCATAAAAAAAATCACTTTTACATCGTCTGCATAAACTTAGAGGAACCAGCGGTTGATGTCATTAACAATAGGAATTCAGTTGCAAAGTTTTATAGAGCTTATAATGATGCACTTAATGAATTGGTAAGAATAGTAAATTTACATTATAAAATATAAGTATTAATAGACTGATAATCTAAATAAAATAATAATTATAGAAAATGACAATCTCTTTTTTGCAGAAAATACTTTTTAGTAGGTACTTGATGAGGGTCAATAACAAATCAGCTTCAACTTTGGAGGGTGTTGAACCAAAAAGGGTGAACATGAATTGGCGCACGAGGGATAATCATGCTGACTATTGAATTTTTTGCATGCGTTATATGAAGACATATATGGGAGATAAAACAGTAAATTGGACATGTAGGTTGTCAAAAGAATCAAAACAACAACAAAGTGTGTTAAACGATTTACGCATTAAGTATTTTACAAAGATACTATTGAGTGACACAAACACATACAGGTCAAAAATCATTGCGCAAAAAGCTAAGTTCGCAAAAAAGACTAATGAAGAAATAAAAGATTTGCTCAACAAGGGATGGAAAAAAAGGGAGAAAGGATATAGTACTTCAAGAATTGGAAAAAGAAGTGTAAAACTTAAAACTTAGTTTTCTATTCATAATTAGTATAAGTTTAGATGCACTTTATTTTCTTTAAGAACATATACATGCTTGTTATGTTACAATTTGATGTTAGTTTCTATATAAAATATAAAGAACTTTACTAAACACTTAAAAGATGTTTATATTTTCATGTGAATATCTACATGTATGTTATACAATTACATGTTTTATTAAAAATATGCTATTGGTGTGTGGGTGGGGGGTGGGGGGAGTAATTATATTTCTACTTTGAATAAAGAATTGAAAGTAAATTGTCATTTCATACATTTACTTCATTTCTTTTATGTCTAAATTATTAAATGTTAATGTAATAACAATACAATATTATATATATATATATATATATATATATATATATATATATATATATATATATATATATATATATAATTTACATTGTTTATATGTTAACCTTGTGAAAATTTTATATGTCGGATTCACAATGTGAATTACAATACATATTATAACATGTATATTTTATATGTGAGGTTCACAATGTGAATTATGGTACATATAGATCATTAGAACAATTAACAGTTGAGATTCATAATGTGAATTAAATTACATTAAGACAATCTTTAACATGAAAATTTTATATATGAGATTAACAATAATATACATAAATTAAATCATTAGCATGTAATTTTTATTAGAAAAGATTCAAAAAACTAACAATAAAAAATATCTTTAACCAAAAACAATAAATTTGAAAAAAAAATCTATTATTAGAAATAAAGTCTAAAACAATGAATATCAAAATTAACATCAATATTTCAACATTTGTATCCATTGAATGATCATTACAAAAACCAAATCTTATTTTAGTAGTCTTAAAAAGAAAAAAAAATAGAAACAATCAGCCTTTTGTAACCTCAGATTCTAAATCAGACTTCTTTAACCTCAAAATGCAATTCCTAGCATTGTGATTTGGTTTATGACATAAACTGCACAACATAGAACCCATTTTAGATTTCTCAATCACTTTCTCTCTAGTGCTCTTGATTCTTTTACCACTGGCCCATCCCTTGTTGCTGATCCCCTCTGGATTATGAATGTTAATAATATTAGGTACTGCAGCTCCAATAATTTTTTCAATGTGAACTTATCTACTCGGAGATGCCCTTGATGAGGTACATAAAGGAATACCACTATCAACCTCCTGAAGTTGCTTTATATATTTAGCCAACTCATCCTCATTATTTGTTATCTTGTTAATGGACAAACGAAGAATATCACATACGTCTTGAATCAAAAACATTCATTTTTACTGCCTTTATGAGGATATGAGTACTTTTTTCTCAACAATCCATCAGCTATGATATCTTTTCCACATCTCCTCAAAATGAAATTTGATGGAATTTCATCATACTCTTTCATATTTAATATGAAAAACATATGACGACATAACAATCATTCCTGGACAAAAAGCATGCAGCTACAATTGAAGCTATTGCTATCAACCCTTCTACTAAATACAACCTACAAAATTATCATTAATAAACAAATTAATATCTGAATAAGAAATTCTATATCATACCATTCGATACAAATTATACAAATTAACATCGATTCACATTATTAATTAACTGGACATTAGAAATCATAATACTATAATATAAATATGTACTTTAAATCAAATTCACAAAAAAAATACATATTCCATACTAATCTAATGAAAAGTACAAACCAATTTATAACTCTATAAAAATTCACACTGTGAATTAGCAAAACATCCTACATTCACAGTGTGAATTATTAAACTACATTTTATATTTAATAAACTGTATTAGGACAAAGAGACATACCTTGTAACGAGTATTAGGACAATGAAAAGGAAGACTATTTCGATAAAAATCATCAGAATCTTCATCCTCATTCACATTTTTAGCAATCAACTTTTTTTCTTCTTATCTCTGAAAACATAAACTTCACTTTCATCTTCAATAACTAAAGATTCTTGAGCACAATAAAACACAGATTTGTATAAATCTTTCCTGAATGTCCAAGAAAATATTACGTGTATAAATTTCCGATGCATGCTTTTCAATAGCCAAAGGAGTTCTTAGCTTAGGGGTAGTAGTTGTGGACTGATAATCTAATAAAGATTGTTGATGCCTTTGCTTCTCCATTGCACTATCAAACGACATCATGAACTTCACCAAATTTGATTTATGATGCAAAGAATGTGAGAAAGCATAATTCAGACTCTCTGATCTTGAAGTAGTTCGCATCAAACCAGAAAGTTCAAGATCTCCCATATAAGATGGAATCCATAAATCCCTTATTTTAAAAACAGACCTTAACCTGTCATTTTCTTTTAGATGAAACTTATCTAACATTGTTGACCAAGAACTTTCAAAATCTTGTGGAGAACACTGAATATTCCATATAATAGAAAAAAATGTCTTTTGGAAGTCCGGATGATTACAAACATCGACAGGAATCTAAAAAAAAAGAAACACATAAGAAGCATTACATATGTTGAATATTTGATGTAATACATAGTAAAATAACATTTGGTTAACATTATGAATTCACAGTGTAATTTATGATTTAGATTTGTGCTTTTCATCATATGCAAATTTACATTATGAATTCACAATGTTCTTTATGATCTATATGGTTATAAACATATATAGGAATCAAGAAACAAAGAATATATCTTTTCCTCAAGTTTTTGAGAGATGTGCCACATGCATAGTTTATGATTCGATTCAAGAAAAACAAAACTAACAGCTTTCTTCATTGATGAATCCTGATCTATTACAATCATCATGGGTGGCTTGACAAATGTTTTACGAAACACCTCAAGCAACCACACATATGCATCTGTTGTCTCACAAGCTAGTAAACTAGCATCAAAAGTAACACAATGCTTGTGGTAGTCAACTCTAGTAAAAAGAACAAATACCATAGAATACCTGAATTTTTTTGATAAGTATTATTAAAAAGAACAAATACCATAAAAAGAACAAATAAGGATTAGGAATTACTTGTTTGTTTGATAAGTAGCATCAAAAGATAATACATCTTCAAATTGTTTATAGTTGGCTTTTGAAGTATCATCAGCCCAAAAAAGTCCAATAAGATGATCATCAACATCTTTTTGGACCTCAAAAGAAAAATTAGAGAAACACAAATTTCTGTTTGTCAATATATCCACAACCATTTGGGAATGTTTGACACCAATTTTAGAATTTAAATATCTATGAAGATTTTTAAAGTCAACTGCAGTCCTTCCCCTAAAATCAAAGCCACCCTTCATACTACTCACTGAGTTATAAGCTTTTGAAGCACCAATGTTACAAGTACCAACCTTATGTATAAAGGATTCATCAAGAAAATCCATTGTCCTATTAATCCTTAGTAAGCACAACTAATCTTGAGCAACAAGTTCATGGTTATGATCTTCAACAAACACATAAATGTAGAACATTAAAGAACATCGGAGATTCTTCAACTTTGAAACAACATGGCATCCATTCTTCTTAGAAGAAGTTCTCCTTCTCTTAACATCTGAAAACTTCACATTAATATTTTCATTCTTGAATGACTCCGTGAAACCAGATCTACTACATGTCGAATATCTAATACAAATTGTGCCATCATTGTATATTTTTTGACTTGACATATTCACATCAAAACTAGATTCTTGACCATAAGTCTTGTAAAAGTCAAGACCAATGTCCAACGAATCAAACAACAATCCTTTGAAAGGCTTCTTATGTATCAACTTGTCATAAGGAACAAGCTTAAAAGTTTCAGTATTGTAGAGCTCAAAATCAAAACTATAACGAGAATTACTGCTATTTGACTAATCAATATTCATACATGAAGATGATTCATCATGAACTGCAAAACCAAACAAAACGTCTATTTTATTACATTATATATAAAATGTGAAATTTATATTAAGAAAAAAAACTTACGTGATTGTTCATTAATAATTGAATGCAAATCTGAACAAGAATTACTGCTATTTAAATGATCAATATTCATATTTGAAGATGATTGATCATGAACTGCAAAACCAAAAAAAAAACATCTATTTTATTACATTATATAGAAAATGTGAAATTTATATTAAGAAAAAAAAACTTACGTGATTGTTCATTAATAGTTGAATTCAAATCTGAACAAGAATTTAGAGAACTCATAATGAATCGTTAGTAACCTGGAATTTATATATACAGATTAGAAATTTAGAATTGATAAATATACAAAAAAGGAAACAAATAAATAAGATAATCACAAAACTTTAAAATATATGCACAAGATAAGATAAGATTCTCAAAATCACTACAAGTTTGGAAAAAATTAAATGTCAGAAGATGCTCAAGATATAATTGATTATCTAAATGTCAAATATCCATTATAGACAAATGATTACAGAAACGATCGAATGAAAAACAGTAACATCAAACGGATATTCAACATATGACATAAAATTAGTAAATTAACAATACAAAACATAACAATCTGAAGATTAAATTGTAAAAATCAATAGAATTTGACAATCAGGCGATGGCAATAAGAATAAAAATAAGATTGATAAACAATGCATCGAAAAAAACCCGGTAAAATCAAAGTCCATAATTGACCTAATAATCATAAACGAAAGATAAATAGATGTTAAAGATACCTGATTATTAGCTGAAATCTGAAGAAAGTATTAGTAAATT